TTATTTAAAGTAAGAATTCCCTGTTAAAAGAATACATATGTTTTTTAAAAAAAGAAATTCCTATAAAAATGAGTTTTTTTTTTTTTTTTTTTTTTTTTTTTTNCCTATAAAAATGATTTATAAATAAAACTATAATTTATTTTTCAAAAATAAATATTGCTTAAAAATAAAATTTTAAGAAAATGTGCATAAACTTTTTGATTGTTGAAAATATAATTCTGCTAGTTCTTTTTACTGTTTCAAACATCCTAAGTGTATGATCTCTTTTTTCTAAATACCTTCCACAGTTCTAAGTTGGATAGTTTATTACTAAAAATTAGTTGAAAAGATTGCATCTCAAATATGAGGATGCTCTTCCTCTATATTTTGTTCTATATATTTCATTGACAATAAGCCCTCGGTGGTAAATCGTGCCAACCTAGTTTACCGGCTCAGCATCATAAGAGGCTTTGATTCCAGATGAAAACCAGACTCAAGGATGATACACCTATGACAGCTGTTTTGCATTACACAAATAAGATATGAAACAATAAAAAAAACAAATAATTTATCTTCAATTTTTGAAAAAATAGTATGCAAAAAACCGGATGTTTTGAATCAAAAAATTTAAAAGCAGCAGTTAATTTCCTAGCAAGTTTGATTATCAACAATTCTGAGCTTTCAAGTAGATGATAATTTAAAAACGAGCATTTAACTTAAAATGAAACCTAATTTAAAGTGCTAAAACAATAGTATATTATTGAAAAAATAATCTACGTGGTAGCGTATAAAATGAAATTTTGAAAAATGAAAAGAATACTATAATTAATTATTTGGTCAAAGGTTGTGTGAAACAAGCGCTGCCAGGTAATGAGAAAATTTATTTTAAGATTAAGACGATGTATAACATGTTGAGAAATTTTAAGATGTTTAAAAATCTTGACGCGATTCGGAAATTCTCTTGGTGGTGACATAGAATATCAAGACGCGATTAAACATAATCTTCGATGATATTATATCCGATATAACGATACATTTTATAGCTCTTTTATTTTCATTTAAGTTGTAATTTCTTGATAATTATTGAATATATTATTCCATTTCAATTTATACGAATGTATATTGAAATTGTATCAATTATTCAATGAACTTACTAAAACTTTTTTTTAAGAAAAAGCAGACATTTTATCAGAAACATGATTTTATAAAACTCAACATTCGTTAAATATAATGTTTTATTCGAATCTCTTTGCTAAATTAAGAGTAAATTTTCAGATGACTTAAAAAGAAACATCGTATTTCATAATTAAAAAAAAAAGATTAACTCTCAGCGGAAAAAATAATAATGAAATTTTACGCTACGCATGCGTAAGTCAAGTTCATCGTACGTTAACCACATTTAAATATTAATCTCCCCATTTAAATATTTCTACATTTTCACCGAATCATTTTTTAAAAAGTAATTAATTTTAATTTATCTCGGCTTCTATTAAAAAAAAACATCTTAAACTTTAATTTTGCTAAAGAAAAATACGTGGGGTTATATGGTATAAAAATTTTATACCTCATAATTCAAAATGATAATAATATAACATAATTCAAAATAATTCATCCACAATTAAATTAAATAATAAATAATTATTAAAAATTTTTGTTTGAGTGAAATTATCTTTCGGTAGATGGGTTTCATAAGTGAGTCCAATTTTTTTTTTGAAATTGCTCATTTAATTATTAAGATATCACTAAAAGTACAAAAAGGGAAATTAATATTAAGGGGACCAAAATTTCCTCCACTCTCCGGAACAAATTATTAGGGTCACAATTTACGGATTACAGCTACCCCCTTATATTTTGCAGGTCAAGAATCCAAATATATAAAAAAAAAATATATATATGTTTAATCATATTTGAGGTTACCCCTAGAAACCATTAAGATTGACACTTAGTACGTGAAAATCCGACCATTAGAGAGAAAGTTATTCAGGGTGATTTTTTTGCGCACTCTGCAGTGAGTAAAAAACGAAGGTAAAATGAATCACACTGAATAACTTATTAATAGTTCAAGGGAGTGAACTTAAATATGCTACTCAATTTGTGCAGGCTATATTTACAGTGACAAAATCAGACACTAAAACGTATTTTCTCTGAATTTCTTACAAAAATTATGTACCTGTGAACACAAATGTGCATAGTTCATTGATTTCAACTTTTTTTAAATTATAAAACTGTATTAATAACATTTAGTATAACTAAATACGATTAATAAGAGTTTTTAATGCTCATCACTTTGTATATAATATGTCCACAGATAAAAATTAAAATCTTTCATCATACTGCAAGTTCAAACAAAATATTGAGTCAGTGATACTGTATATTTTACGTACATCAATATTCGACGATAATATTTTATGCTAGCCACCTGCAGTTGATTGAACTACCACTGCATGATACCACAAAGAGGTAGTTAATAATTGGTATTCAAAAATGTATTCAATAACCGACTTTTAAAAATTTCTTAAGCAAGAAAAAAGTGTACAAATTTGCGCTTAAAAGCAAAAAAGAAAACAAATCATAAAATAGTAAATACACAAATGGGCGACCTTTGTGCTAAAATACAAACTAAGGTAAACAACGTTTAAGAGCACAAAAATATTTAAAAATACAATATTTGAAATTTTCCTTTAAAGTAATTCTTAAAGATATAAAGTTCAATCCCAATTTAATCGTTACTAAAGCTGACAACGGTGGTCAAATTGTCTTTCTAAACAAAACAGACTATTTGGAAAATTCTAAACATCTTATTCTTGATGGTCCTTATAAATAAATTCCCAAAGAACCAAGCACTAAAGAATTAAATGTTATAAAATCAATTATTAAATCCTCTATGTTAATTCCCAATAGACTTAAGGCTGTTTTGACTCCCTCTATTTCTCATTGCGCTAGATTTTATACTTTTTGTACATAAAATTGGCACTCCTTTTAGAACAATTGTCTCCAACATTGGTACCTCGTCTTACAAACTCGCAAAATTTTTAGTTTCTGTCTTCTCCCCTCTTCTTGGTAATAATTATTTCACTATCAAAAATTCCCTTGAGTTTGTCAAAGAAGTTAAAAATCTAAAACCTAATGATTATTTGATGGCCTCATTGATGTCAAATCACTGTTCACTAATGTTCCTGTTGAGGGGGCTTTGGAATGCCTAAAACTTAGACTTTCGGAATATCATTTTTCCCAATATGAGGTCGATGAATATGTTAACTTCACCAGTGTTTGTTTACAACAAAATACTTTCGCTTTTGACAACAAATTTTACCATCTGACCAATGGTCTTGCCATGGGAAATCCTTTGAGCCCTATACTTAGTGACATCTATATGCATTATTTTGAAAGTAAATCTATTCAAAATTTTAATTTTCCCCTTTTATAAAAGATATGTTGATGACAGTTTTGTTTTTTTAGATGAAAATAATTGTAATTTAGACCAAATGCCTAATGTTATGAATAGCATTGATTCATGCATTCAGTTCACCTTTGAATTAGAGACTGATCAAAAACTTCCTTTCTTAGATGTTCTTGTGACTCGGTATGATAATTCATTCCATACTACTGTCTTTCGTAAACCTTTTGCTGTTTCTCTTCCCCCTCATTACAAATCCTCCCAACCCAAAACTTGCTTTTCTCCTGTCTTTTGTTTACCGTGCTGTTAAAATTTGTTCCAACATTGATTTTCTTGATGCAGAATTAAATTACAAAGCCATTGCTCATGACAGAGATTATTCTCCTAACATTATTGATAATATTTATAAAAACTTAACTAAACAATCGCCTACCGATAAACCTTCCAAAGAATTTTCTAACAATTTAGTCATTTTACCCTATTTCCCCAAAATAAGTCGGCAAGTTGCTAATATCCTAAAAAAGTTTGATTTTAATATTATTTTCAGTCCTATTAATAAGATAAAATTTTCTAATCTCAAACAGCCCTTTGACAGTCAAAATAGCTGGGGTATATACCAAATTAATTGTCAAAGTGGCCTTTCATATATTATAATTATATTATAACCGTCGTTGAACAGCCGACCCAATTTCATGGGTTTACGACTACTTACGTTCAACTCCGTAGCCTTGTAATTTTGAACCAATCCAGAAGACAAGGAAACTCCTGGATCAGTACCCCCAGAGGTATTGATTTGTTGTGGAAACATGGAGGACTTTCAGACTCGACAGATTTAAAGTGCATCAGTCACCATTTACTACACGGGGAGTCTTCGGCCGGAGAGGATCGAACCCACGACCTCTTGGATATGGGCCCAGCGCCCTACCGACCAGGCTATCCCGGCCCCTTTCATATATTGGCCAAGCTAAGCGTGCCTTAAAGTGCCGTGTCAAGAAACATGAAGTTTATGTCAAAAAACAAGAATGNCGAATATAATATAAAAATTTGATTTTTATTCATTTGGCGTGAAAATGCGAAGTTAGCCCCCGAATTTAATTTTCAGGATTATGTCCAAAATAAGGGTGGTCAAAAAAATTTAAAAGGTGGTCATTTGTGGTCAAAAAATGGTCAAACGAATGCAGTTTGAATTTTTGAATTTCCTCATTTTCGGGGGCTATCTTCGCATAGCTTTTTTTGTTCCTTGCTTCCAATTCGTCGTCATCCATTCACCCTTCCCTCCTTTTGTCCGTTGCTCTAAACCCTCTTGTGACGTCATCTTTCTCTCTATATATTTACCGTGTTTTCTCTTATTTCTTTCTGTTGCACTGATGAAGGTTGCCCTTTGGGCATCCGAAACAACTGTCTGTATTTTTATATATTTTTGTGCTCTTAAACGTTGTTTACCTTAGTTCATAAAATAGTAACTAAATTGCATAAGACATAGCCTAGGTAATTGTAAAAAATACTTGATTTCTGCTTAACATGTTATATTGACTTAGGTTCGTGATAAAGTACGCATGCATTAATGTTCTTTGGACTCTTTTTAATACGAATCTTTAATTCAAAACTAAATTGTATTTTACAGAAGGAGTACGCAAAGAAAAAAGATCTAGAAACTGGACACTCAAGACTTTAAAAACAGAATCGACTGAAAGAACTGACTTCATAAACAATTTTTCAGAACCTCCTTCTCTGCAGCGTAGTGCAATAGTGTCGCTTGCAATTGGGCTATGGACGGCGCCTGATATAAGGAATGAACTAACGTATATCTTACGCGATAACGGATCTCGAGGGATGAATGAGTTAGAGAAAAGAATATTAGGAAAATTGTTCGATAGCTCTTTGCCCTCATCGCTGAAAACCGAAATCTCATACGTCATTCGACCCATTAAGTTGCAGTTGCTGAAAGTGTTTCGTATTTACCGTAGTTGGACAGGAAATCAAAGAAATCTCTATGAGTATTACATGAAGCGTGGTACAATTTATTGGACAGTTGAGGGGACAGTTGACATAGTGAAATCCTGTACGGAATTATTCGATAGCGGAGGCTTAGATATTTGCCGTTTGTATGCGATAGCCTGCTCTCACTGTTTAGGGGAATATGCTTCAATTTTTTGGGAGAAGATTTCAGAAGAATTTGGAAACCGATTTAGAATCGCTCGGCTCGGAGAAATGTACACTTGTCATTTTATAATATATTGGACATGTGTCCTCGAGAATAATTTAGGGAGTTTTCTAACTAGACTCATAGATCATGAAAACATATACGATGATAAGCTTAGTATTGATGTAAATATGATTGCTTGTTCGATTAATGTAAATAACATAGTTGCCCTAAAGTATTTTTGGAAGAAATTGTCAGAGCAGGAGAAAAACGATAATTTGAGTAAATGGCTTTTGCAAGCTACTCGACGTGTGGGTATTCAAAATCCTTTAATTTTTCAAAATCCTTTAATTTATCAGTATTCTTCAGAAACTTTAGATGTTTTATGTTTTTTATTATCTCATGTCAATCGTATAACTCAAATGACCGAATTTTTTCGTAATCATTCTCGCGTGTTAGTGTTTTTGTTCGAATGTTGGCCATATCAAAGAATATTCTTCTCCATTATTTTTGAACTATTGGATAATCTTCAAGAAGACATTTATTCATGTATAATGCAGAGTATTAGTTATAAGATGAGTGAAAGTGGAAATGAAATGATGATTTTTAAAGAAATATGGAGTGCCAGTCCATTAAGACTAAGACAATCATTTCTGAATAATGAACTTCTTTGCGCCGTCGTGTTGTTGCGTTTGCTGAAATTAGAAAATCTGAACGTGGCTGTTACTATATTAAATGATGCTTCCAAAGAAGAAATTAAACTATTTATCTGCTTTATTTTTTGTCAGCCTGAATTTCGCCGTGCAATTTACTCCAGCAATCTGAGTTCGCTTCACATGTTATTATCAAAATCTACCTTGCCAAAAGAATGTTATCCCTATAAAATAAATCTTACAGAGCAAAGAGAGCAAGATAGACTCATAATATCATGGCTTATTAGATTTAGCGATTGGCATATTTGTATTGAATGGATATGCGATGGTAACATCCAAGCAGCTGAGTCCTTCTTGAGATGGGTTTATCAATCTGTGGAAATTGAAACATTTAAGAAAACAATATCATCTCCATATGTGATCTATTTGACATTAATATTTTTGTCCAACTTTGAGCGTGTGGACCAGTTTCTGAATTGGTATTTCCAGACTGGAGAAGAAATTCAACAATTTAAAGCAGACTTTTTGCGAAAATGGGGTAATTATTTTTTCAAGCGATTAATAGACATGCCGTTCATTATATCAAAAAGTGAAGGCGATGTGTTACAAAAATTTATAAATTACAACTTGTCTTCTCTTGTAAACGTTACAGAATTTCGACTTATTTGTCGTAGTTGTATAGAGTATGCACTGAGTAAAGATTTTCTTGAAAGTGCCACCTTACTTTTGAATGCATCTTTCGATGATATCAATGAAGAAAAGCGATACAAAAATGAACTTATACTATCTAAGAAAGGAATTAAAAAGGATCTAATCTTAAAGCAATTACTAACTGATGCTGACTGGAATCACGTGAAAGAAATTGTAATGTGGTCGTCGCCTCTATCCCTAAATACAGTTAAAAAATTAAAATCACTAATTCTGAAGCAGAAGACTAGTCACACTCTAGACTCTTTTCAAGATGAATTGAAACCACAGATTTCAGCACTCTTTCATTTACTGGAGAATGTTGTTGAGGAAGATAGCAGATGATAGTTGAACATTTGTTTTGCGATGAAAAGGGAATCCAAATAAAACCAGTTTCACTGCGCAATCATTGTTAAAAGATGAATTGTTTTGTAATGAATATGTAACTCCATTTTTTAGTGCTAGTTGTTTAATATTAATAAAACAATATCCGCTATATATTATTTGCCGCAACTTTCATAATAAATTTAATTGTTACAACATTATTTTTTTTTTTTTTGGTTTTATCTGAAGAAAAATCAACAATTTTAAGTGATTAATTTTTCCTCACTATTCCCAAAAATCTAGGAAGATATACTATATTCAAAGCTAATAAATGGCTCAGATTTGTCTGAGCCATTTATTCAGATAAAACGATATTTACATAAAAGTAATATTATTATAATGTCTCTCTAAAATGTATATATAGAGATTTCAGAACATAAGATTATATTTTAGTATAAAAAAGTATAAAAAATTTAATCAAAGTTCATAAATTGAAAAAATCGGAAAAATTCTAAAATTGGTATTTTGTCATTTAAAGTATGTCACAAAGAAAATATTTTATGTTCACGATTTTTTAGAGTGTAAAAAGAAAATTCATGTAGAAATAGCGTGACCCCCCCCCCAATCTTTTTCCTTTCTAATTGGCGTTTATTTGTAGAATTGTTCATATATATATATAGTCTACGCTCTTGAGTACGTTACTCTTCTCCATAATGCTACAAACCTACAATTATAACGACCGATACATGAAGTCCCATTTGCTCTTCCAAATACACATCGAATTATTTTATCAGCCGTTAGAACATCTGAACTGAACCACACATTTAAAAATAACGACCGAATTTCTTTTTTTCCCTATTCTCTGGAAATTAGTAAAAAAAGGGTGCTTAGATTTTTTGAGTTTTAAAAACTAACATTATTTCTGTGAGTGTGAATCTATGAATAACAAAAGCGTGGAGGAAATACTACTATTACTTTTGGCTTTACCACTGAATAAACGTGAAACATCATGAATTCAATAGGAATAAAGAAATAGACAATTTCTTTGTGACTATGTCACAAAGAAAATATTTTATGTTCACGATTTTTTAGGGTGTAAAAAGAAAATTCATGTAGAAATAGCGTGTCCCCCCCCCCAATTTTTTTTCTTTCTAATTGGCGTTTATTTGTAGAATTGTTCATATATATATATCAGGTATATATGCCGAGTTACTTCAAACTACACCATAATGTGATGATGTTGGTTATCATCAACTAATTCAATCAACGATCTGATCAATAACAATAATATTTATTCTTCAATAATAACATGAGTCACATAGACTCTAACCACTTAGGTTCGAACCACACAGGTTTCAAGTTTTACCTAAAAACAACCAGTTTCACTTAGAAACTACACATCAACTGACTAAGTCTTCATTTACATCGAGAAATTTCGTTGCTTTTCGTTAATGAGAGCGACATCTGGCGTACTAACAGAGAGGCTGTAGTCTCGCATGTTACACTCGGGCATCCTACGGGTTTCGTCCTCGAAACAGAATGACTAAAAAAATCTGTAAAGAGAAGAAAAAAAACAAAGCTGTATACAAAACAAACATAACAAATACATAGCAAATTTTTGAAGGAAAAAAATCAAAGCTGCATAGTTCCATCAGTAAATATGCACTAATTTGTCCATGGCTTCATATAGTCTACAGCAGTGGTTGTTAAGTTAGGACCTTCATGTTGCCCAACTTTATCTACTTCATATCGGTCATTGGATTTCACTTTAACAATCTTGTAAGGACCATGAAACTTGGGACGCAATTTTAAACCAGTTCCAAGGTGTGTTCTTTGAATCGCCACTTATAAGTCATCTTTTCTGTACTTGCGGGGTTGTTTACATTTTCTGTTGTGGGTTGATTTATTCTGCTGTTAAATTTCTATAATTCGTCGCTGTGCATCGCTTCTAAGATCTTCTCGTTGTTTCATAAAGTAGTTTTCATATTCGTCAGTTAGAATTTCTTTAATCCGTTAATCTTCTTTGTTTCTCATGGGTATTCCTATCATTAGTTGAAATGGCGTTTTGTTTGTACTGGTGGAAACTGAACTTTTAATAAATCGCTGTACATCGTTTACGTGTTTAAACCAGTCCATTGGATTATAGATGGATAACTTTGTGAGAATAGGGATAAGAGTTTCGTGCAATCTCTCGACTTGACCATTTCCACGAGGTACTCCAGCAGTAATAAGAATATTTTGAATATCTTCTTCTTGACAATAGTCCTTAAATTCTTTAGACACATATGCACCACCACGGTCTGATATAATTCTGGAGGGATTACCAAAAGTTGTCTTTTGTAACTGCAATTTCTCTAAAGCAGCTTGAGCACTTACATTTTTGACGGGGTAAAGCCATACAAATTTTGAAAAACCATCAATCACAGAAAAAATGTGCTGATATTTCTTTTTTGTTGAAGGCAATGGACCTAAATAGTCAATGTGGTATGTACTTAAAGGTACATCTTCTTTAGGAATCGGGTGTAAAGAACCTTCCTTCTTGCCTCGCTTTCGGTTGCATAGAATACAGTCAACACAATTCGCTAGAACAGATTGTATTTTCGCTTTTAGACCAGGAATATAATAATTTTGTTTAATAGCTTCTTCAGTTAGAGAGTGCGTAATGTCCCTTACTATGAACTTCTTTAATGATAATATTTTGCATCGCGTCTGGTATTACTAGAAGATCCCTGCCATTATCGTATCGATAAAGAATGTCATTTTTAATAAAGTGTATATTATCATTTCCATTGGCAATTAATGTTTTAATAGTGTTTATTTGCTCATCTTCTTTTTGGGCAGCTGCTATTTTCATGGTTACCTCATCATGCTGAATTATAAGAGCAAAATTTCTGCTTAAGGCATCAACATGCTTCATTTGTGTAGCAGGCCGATGTATCATATCAAAGTGAAACTCCTCAAGATACAACGCCCACCGCGCAATTTTAGGGATGATTTCTTTTTTACTCATTGTGCTTTGCAAAGCAGCGCAATCGGTTATAATTTTAAACTTTACACCTAGCAAATAGTTTCGAAATTTTTTAAGCGCTTCAACTATGGCAAGAGTTTCTAATTCATAGCTACTATATTTCTTTTGTTGTTGGGACGTTTTTTTACTAAAATAATGGATTGGATAAAATTTACCATTGTCTGCTTTTTGAAGTAGAAATGCTGCGAAACCAAAACTACTAGCAATTTTACTACTAGACGAAAGGAATTTAATTCCAATCCGTTATCAGCAGCTGTTTTTAAAACACGTTTTAACGTAGCGAAACCTTCAATTTCATCTTTAATAAGATCTCGAAACACATGCAAAATATATCTTTGAAAAACACTGGGACTGTTAGCCAAACCCAGTGGCGTACGCAAGGGAGGGGTTTCAGGGCCCGACTTAGCCTGATTGGGGCCCGGGGCAAAAACCTCTTTGGGGGCCCCCCTAGCGCCATATGTGCTTAGCTTTAGATGGTCGGTCAAACGTCCATTACTATGTAAAANTTCTCACGGTATTTCTCAGAATACTGAAAAAACATTTACTATAATAGGGTTGTACTTTTGAAACCAAATTCACGTGATACTGTTACGGACTGGTTCCTTTCTGTCCTCCCAGTATAGTTTTCGAGACTGGCTGTCATTCGCGAGGTCTTAACGAGATGATTCTGGAATCCTAGACGTTCTGTCGTCTTTGAGACAATTCGAGAATTTCGGAGATACTGTGAAAAATTATATAAAATGGGGAATGGAGTACAGTGGAGTTAGTTAGTCAGACTAAGATTTATCTCTGCCCGGAGCTTGTCGCTAAATCTGTTTTGATTTATTTCAACAAAAAGTTCATTCAATCGCAGAACACATCATCGCCACTATTTCGACTAGTGAAGAAATCAGTAACAATACCATTGGAGATACTGTGCTCGTTGAAGCTATTTATTCCAGCTCGAAACTTTGAGATCGCAGCATAGCGGATATTTCTGTGCCAATATATATATATATAACATCTAAAATACTTGCTCAATAAAATTAAAAGGATCTTTTGAGACTAAACTCAAAAAGAATTATATCTATTTGCAGATAAGCTTATCTGGTTTCTGAGAACATTAAATTTCTCTTTCACCTACTTAACTTAGCCCTTCGCGTATATAGTAAGTTCCGTTGAATAACGATGAAATCTTTATTTGTAAAATGAATCCACACCACGCAGTAAAATATCGTAACGAAGCTGAATTCCCATTAAAATCAAGACTATGTTGAGATATTAGTTCATCTCCATCTGGTCTTCAGATCTTACGGCGCACCCGCTTCTAACATGTAAACAAAAGAGGTCTGGATGGATCACATGAACTACGTTAAAAAAGGGAACACTTATATTTTGGATATGGAAGGATAAAAGATGTGTCTCGGAGCTTTGCTCCAATTGTATATAATTTGTAAATAGATTCTTTATTCAATAAAAGTACAGAAAATTCATTATGTTATGACTGCAAATTCTACGAAATGCAATATAATGATTAATGAAACGCCACAGCTCAAGAGTTTACGAGAAAACACGAGNATATATACGAGGATTGTAAATTAAATAGTGGCAACTTAACCTTGAAACTCACAGAAGGGTGGGCTTGCGCAAATAGGATATGGGAACAATGAGGTGGCGCTGTTGTCGATGTGTAGAGTGCAAAAAACAGTCGTTCTGCTTAGAAGGGTAGTTGTTGTGTGGCGTTAAAGTGAGGAGTTTCGTTTCCATCGCCCTAAAGCATGTTTTCAAAAGGCTTACTGACGAAAAAGACGAGATGCTTGAACCCATCGTGCTACTGTCCAATACGGTAAAGCATTTGCCCCACAGGCTTCCACTAATCCTCGATAGAATTCTGTTACATTTTTACCACGGGCAACCTCGATTTTAAGCGACGACATCTGATCACCTTTTGAAAACATGCTTTAGAGCAGGGGTCCCCAACCCTATGCCAGCGGGCACCATGGCGCCCGTCGATCGATCTAGGTGCGCCCGCTGCTTGCGCCCAACGATAAAATATTTCAGTTTTCCATTTTCCCAATAAATGCTATGCAAATACATACTGGGGTACTCTGGTTCAGTAATGGCAAAGTACTTTATAGATTTCTACATTTAATTGGAGAAATAAAAA